CTGACCGCCGATCCTCTCGGTACGTACCACCACGGCTGTCCATTCTTTCTTTGAATCCCTTTCGGGTACCGCGGTACACTACAGTGGGATGCATCGTGCATGCATGCATGATGTGACGCAAGGCTCTGCACGTCGTCGCATGGCATGCAGCTACACGGGCCTGGCCGCGTGCGAGCGCTGTAGCACCAGCAGCGCTCGTAGTTCATTTGATCGAGACTTCATTAGTCGAACGGTCCAGGTCGGGCGTGGTGAAAACTGAAAAGGAGACCGCCAGGACGGCAGGAGAACCTCAAGCTCGGATGGCATGTGCTCGCTGATTGCGCAATCGAGCGGTGGAGTACGCGCATGTTTGGTTGCGGGTGCAGGTGCAGGCCGTGCATGGCCAGAGCGTGCCGCCAGCCGTGGCGGCAGGGCCGTGCCTACTACACGTAGGAATATGGCGCGCCTCCATCCCTGGCCTGGCCTGGCCTGACGGCGACCAGCGTCGCATAGCTCCATCGATGCAACCGACGCAATGCCCCAAGCTAGCCACAGCTAGTGCGCGTACTGCGTCGACCGGAAGCATGCAGGGCTCGTCCTCCGGCAGCGGACGATGGAGTTGACGGCCCGCCGTCGGCGTCACCCTGTCATGGAAAAAGGAGGAGGCGGTAGGAGCAGAGGGAGACCGCGCTAGCTAGCAAACGTCCGGCTCCACAGTCAAATATTCGATCTCGGCCTTGTTTCCTCGGCGTCTCGGCGCGTCGGGTACCGCGGCGCCAGTGCCCGTCCGTCCCTCCCGGCGACGGGACGGGTGCCGGCTCGCCGCGCCTTTGCTTGGCCTCACGCCGGGCCGCGCGCGCTGCTCACTTGCTTTGTCGCCGCCTGCCATAGCCATCGGGTAGTACTAGAGTGCTGGTTCGTGGTTAAGTCCCACCTCCCTCGTCGTCACAAGATTAGTAGGAGTAGTAGTCATCAAAAGGAGATGAAGGAGGGTAGTAGCAAGTAGCAGGGTCCTGACATGGTTGGGAAGTTTTGTCTCTCTGCTTGATTAGTTTGAACTTATTTTTTTACATTACTACATATACAGGTGGCGCGTCGATCGCGTCTGCGGCCATGTGCTATCTGGGTAAATGTATCCAGCATCCGGCCGGATGCCCGGATCCACCGTCTTGATTCTGTCAGACGATTACTTAATGGACTTGATTACGGCTGACAGTGTCATGATTATGCTCACAGAAGCTCCTGGGAAGCCTGCAACTTAATACTCGCCGAACGGAGTACCCGACCTTCAAACCACCCACAACCGTTCAAATAGTATGGTTAGGACGTTTTTTGCCATCCAATACAGTCATGTATCTGTTCGCAGGTTGGTCCTACCTACTATTCTGGTCCATCAGAAACTGTCACAACCCGGTCTTAAGAGGGGCCCCGAATCTATCAGCTTTCTACGCTAGTCCTTGAATCAATAGCTGACAAGCACATTTGACGATGAAATGCCAAAAATACATCATATGTCATAATATTACATCATGGATCCGGTGCTTTAAAATACACACCTGCTTAGCTCATGGGCTAGCTTATAGTACAATCATGCAACGGAGATAATGACCAAGAGATCTAAGCCGACGCCGCCTAACCCTTCCCCAGCCCTCACTTCCCCCTCCGCCGATGGTGGTGGTCGGCCCCGGGCAAAGCCCACGTGTCGGTTGTCGGTGTCAAAACCGTCCGATCTCGGGTAAGGGCCCCCGAACTATGCGTCTGAGGATCGAGGGTAGCAAGGGACAAATGAGACACAATGTTTACCCAGGTTTGGGCCCTCTTAATGGAGGTAAAACCCTACGTCCTGCTTGATTGTATTTGATGAATATAGGGGTTACAAGAGTTGATCTACCTCGAGATCATAATTGCTAAACCCTAGATGTCTAGCCTATGAGAGTTATGATAGCTTTTACGGACTAAACCCCTGATTTATATACACGCCGGAGGGGCCTAGGGTTGTACAGAGTCGGTTTGTGGGGGGAGGAAATAACATATCCGGACACCAATCTTGCCGTCCACGCATAGGGGAGTCCAACCCGAACACGGGGGAAAGTCTTCTGCTTGTATCTTCACGACCCATCAGTCCGGCCCATACCAAATAGCCCGGACATCCGAGGACCCCCTCATCCAGGACTCCCTCAGTAGCTCCTAAAACCAGTCTTCGATGACGATGTGTTCAGCACGTGAATTGTCTTCGGCATTGCAAGTCTGGTTCCTCCTCCTAAAATTCTTTGCAACAATTCCCTGAACAAAGGAACTGTATCCAGCTCTGCATAACTGTTACAACCCTTAGCCACGAAGGCTGGATATCCAGATAAAATAGTGTCTTTTTACTGACAACTTTTTCGGTGACACGTCACATCTGGCCTCTTAGCATTTCGAACCGTTTTCACGCCTCCCGCTTCACGTTTCGAGGCACAACCTCCATTGGCACGTCTTGTCAAAACAAAGATCATGCCCGCTCATTATGGGATCCTAATCAATACGGTTCTGGGTAATCCAACCGTGCCATTCGTACGATCCCCTTGGGAACAGGCGAGTTTTAAGGCTTGAGGGGGGCGTTTGGTATTCACCGCCCATATAAGAAGGCAAAGATTCCTCTTTTCCCGACGCCTTCTTCCTTCTCTAGCCTTCCCCTCTCCTGAGCTCCGACGCCCAAAAATCTAAACCTTTCCCACCGCAACCAACCTCTCCGACCATGTCTAGATCTGGTTCAAAGGGCAAGCGGGAGACCTCCTCCGTCACCGAGAAGGACGTCAAGGAGCTCCGGGGGGTGGGATATCTGTCCATGGATATCGCGCACAGGCTCCCTGCCAAGGATGAAGTCGTCCCCACTCTAGAGCCCGGCGAAAGGGTTGTATTCATTCCTCACTTCCTCCGAGGACTAGGGTTTCCCCTTCATCCCTTCGTCCGGGGCCTCATGTTCTACTACGGGCTAGATTTCCATGATCTAGCCCCGAACTCTTTCCTCCATATATCGGTGTTCATCGTCGTGTGTGAGGCGCTACTCCGCATAACCCACACTTCGGCCTATGGCTCAAGGTCTTCAATCTGAAGCCAAAGGTGGTTGACGGGCAACATGCAGACTGCGGCAGCGCCATGGTGAGCAAGCTCCCCAATGCAGTCTGGCCAAAGGGGGCCTTTGTGGAGACCGTCAAGGTATGGCAGCAGGAGTGGTTTTACATCACCGAACCTTGCGGCGCTAAGTGGGCGGCCACTCCCGAGTTCAGATCCGGACCCCCTATGAGGCTTACCTCGTGGACCGCTAAGGGCCTGGACTAGGGATCCACAGCGGAGGTGCAGATGCTGAAAAAACGCATCACCAATATGATAAGCAAGAATACTGGTCTCACAAACGTGATCCAGGTGATGCTTTTCCGCCGCACTCTCCCCTGCCAACTCCGGGCCTCTCACATGTGGGAGTTCAATCCGGAGGGGCCACGGACCTTGAAGCGCTTCTCTGGCACCATGCACGAAGACATATGGAAGCATCTCTTCAAGGCCCAAAAGACGTGGCCGAAGAAGACCGAGGACATCAGACTTGTCATAGAGTATCCGACCTCAGAGGTAAACATATCATTTCCGAAGAAGTATCCGATCAGTATTTTGAACATTACCTAAGTTATATTGCCCATCTTTCGTGTAGGGCTGGACGGCGAAGGCGGAGCAGATCAACTGTCCGGCACCGCTGCCTGAAGACCCAGCCATGCCCCCCGCTGACGAAGATGCTGGTCCCAGCGCCGTATCAGGCGCCGGATAAGAAGACCAAGAAAAAGAAGGGCAAGGAGACCAAGAGCGGTCCCCGCCCTAAGGGTCCTTCAGACGTTGTGTCTG